TAAACTGTTTTTATAGAGGAAGGCTCCACTGCATTTTATTCCTCCTTGTTTTTGTGTAAAGTCTTTACGGGAACCATGGGACTGAGCAAAAGTGTATGAGCAGAAGTGGGAAGGTTTGTGGTGCCTTTGAAATGTAAAGGGAGCAAGATATTTTAATAATGGTGTTTTGATTTGGAATCTGCTTTTTCTGTTTTTACCAGAAGTGATTAATTTTCAGTTCTTACAGACCGGCGGATACTGCATTTAGTTGCTGTCCAGTTCATGCTAATGAATCATCTTGTCGTTCATTACCTTTATCTTATGGATCAGACAAATGTAGGTGGAAAATATGAACTGAACAAGAACATTCTGAATGATTCTTCTCTGTCCTTATAGCACCATATAACTTCTGATGTAGAACTGTCCATCCCCAGAATCTCACCACACTTACTGTGTGGTATAATTGCATTTTTGTACTGACATTTAAGATGCATTAGTTTCTGGTTTTGTTGTAGTGTAGGTTTTCAAGCTTTCTGTGATGTCTGTTACCGTAATCCACAGATCTTCTCTTTCTCCCTGACTTCAATGAGTGTCCTTATCATTCCTTAGTTCACTTGTTACTTACCTGTGATCTTTTAATCTTTTCTTAGGTGTTTTTTTCACTTGGGTACGAACATGTAAATCTCCATGATAAGTGGAACTGTCAGTTTTCAGAATTTAGCCCAGAAGGGATAATCTCTTTTTGACTGAGATTTTGCAATATAGAATTTTTAATCACTTATATGCTTCTTTATAAGATCATGGTTAGTATTTCATCCTACTACGTGCATTCATGAATCGTTGAGTATAGAAGTGGCAGCGTTGCTCTAGTGGTTGTTGATATCCTATGGCTATAGAAAGCACCTGAATTTGATACCAGTAGTAGTAATTCTCACCTTTGTCAATGTTGTTACTGTGTTCATCAGAAAGAGGGTATAGGATGTGTCAGTTTCTTAAACCAGTGGTTTCTAAGGAAGACTTCTAATCTCTATAAAGTAGAAATATTAGTAATGAAGAGGAATTTAGGAAGGAGACATATCAAACAGACACTTTTAAAATGGCCCGTTTCTTACACGTGTGAACCTACAGTCACAGTCTTGGTAGCACTGAGCACTCATTTGTGCAGGTATCACCTGAAGACTCCTACGAATGCATTGCTGTGTGGCAATGGGGGCAGAAGTTATTGCATTTATTCTCTCCTGCAGCAGATGGTGAACTGAACAATCTTTTCATATTTATACCGGGGTAGTATATCTTTCTCAGTTGAACGGTATCTCTTTTGGAGGAAATGTCTGCAGTCAGTGGTTGTTTGATGAACTTGTTTCTTCTGATTCTCTTAAAAAAAATTGGTGTAATAATTTGTGCAGTCTTTTAAAGCAGTTGATTTGTTTAGTAAAGGCTTTTTGAAATCAGAAAAGCAGTTCTGTAATCTAAATTATTACTTATCTATAGACATAAGTTAATAGCTAAAGTGTGATTTGCAGTAAGACTGCTAGATGAGCCAAGATGGAAAGAGGACGCTTTCTTTGTATTGTAGTAAGTAGCACTGATAGCTGGGCCTACTTAAAGGAAAGCTATTGGAGATAATTTCTAGGAAAGGAGATTCAGAAGAAAAATTCGGAATTATTGAGGAGGGAGAACTCAGCCAGAAGGAGGATGAAGTGAAATGTAAAATAAATTAGAAGGAAATTGCTGTAGACCTTCCTACATCACATCTACTGGTTGGCTTTCTCCTCCCCACTCTACCCTTCTACGTCTCTTTACTGCTTAAGTGACACAAAACAGGACTTACTTGGATTTTTCCAGCTGCATAAATTACCACTATCACATAATTTTATATCATTCCATTCTGTGAAGAGCTTTTTTTTTTTAAAAAAAAAAGGAAAGAAAAACTTACCAAAAGGATATTCGTGTTGAAAAGTGTGTTCAAAGGCCCTTTCAGCCCTAGAAAAGATCTAAAGAGTGGAAAATCCTGTTCTATGTAGTGGGTACTAATGAAAGCCTAGGCAGAAAGCACAGGCAATCAATAGTATCCTTCAGTTACTCACAGTAATAAACGTCGTATGCAGATGGTCTGAAGTACACAATAACAGACAACTTTTGAGTTGCTTCCTAGATGTACTTCATGTTGTCTTGAGTGAATTTGCAGTTTCTTTTTATGAATAGTTTGTAAACTTGCTACTTTTGAGGAGGCCTGAAGAAAGAGTCACTTGGATATGTATAAAATTGGAATTAGGAGCATGCTATGGGAGTTCATTAATGATTCAGGGCAGTTGGTTTCAGTTTCTCCTTCCTTTCACAACACAAAATCCAATCAATACTTTTCTTTCAAGGTCACAATGGATGCCTGGTCTCTGTCCTTCTCATAACCCTTCCTCCCCACTGTATAAGTATTTTGGAGGATTTAATTACTTGTTTAATCGAGGTTGTCATCAATAACTTTTAGCGTAGTCAGGCTCAGACATAAAGGCATATTATTACAGGAGAGGGCTCGGCCCTGATCCAAGTACATGAGAACTGTGCTGATGAATGGTTTTGGGTCACACTGGTTGCAGTTATGAAAGGGGCCACTTTTCCACTCTCTTCCCATCCCCAGTAATCCTGCGGCTGTATTATGGACCAGAAAGCAAGTTCAGATTTGAATCGTAGAACGCCTCTCTGAGGTATTGGTTTTGTGAGGTTTGTAAAACTGAGAAAACTGAGTTCCTCTCTGGGAGAGAAAGCATGTGTTCACTGCATGGGTGACGGTCCTTCGTACTATAGTTTGGCATTTTGTTTTCTAGAACAGCAAATGGGAAGTATATACAAAAAATAATAGTTAGTTAATTTTTTTTTTCTTATTTGGAAACTGGTTCAGTCTAGGCTAAGTAAACTTGTCCCATGCCTGATAACTAACCTCACTTCCTGAAGTTATACTGTAAATCCTAAGGGGAGTCCCAGATTTGGTATTTTAATTGCAGGAAAAGAAACAATGTTCCACTAATGGGAGTAGAAACCTTTCTCCCTGTAAAACAGCTTTCCTGTTTTGAGAAGCAACATAATAAGCAGTCACCCACAAATACAGAAGACTGTCTTAATTCTACTTTTGTTTGGAATGCCATTGGAGTGTTCTCTCAGCCAAGCATTTTCTTTCTGAATAGGCTGCTAAAATCCCGATTAGATAGTTTGATGAGAGGCAAGGGAAGCTTTTCTCTCCTTACGTGGTTCAATTTTCATGTAGACATCACATTGGTAAACAGGATCTGCTTTTAGAAATCTAAATTCTGTAGTTTAAAAGTGATATTTAAGAACTATTGACTTGAGTGGAGTGAGCTGGATGTTTCTGTAGTAGCTGAAAAAGTTGTTCCAACATAATTTTTATGTTGGCTGAAGAATAACAAATAAAATTCAAGGCATTGTCTCTTCCTTCTCCTGGTCTGTAGGAAAATCCGGACGGTATAAAAGTGTGCAGTTGTGACAGAATTCTGAGTTATCCTAATAATTTCATGAGCGAGCTCCTGGAGGTCAGCTTTATTGTAGAACATTATGAACACAGTTAATCATGCCTGTTGAACACAATGGATCCAAATTTGCTGTGGGTCATAATCCTTAATCTGTCAATGAATGTGCAGAGTTCACTTTACTCATTCTACTGATGTTATATTTAATATGGCTCAAATCAGTTTTATACGTACAGTATTGATTATATGCTATTCATAAAATGCTGGTAATAGAAAATCTATTTCTATTGCTTTTCTGTGTGGGACCAGGACCTTAATGTTAATATAATTTTCAAGGAAAAAGCTGTGCAGTGATTCAATTTTGTAAAGTCAATTGGAGGGAATTTGTATATATATGTATTTATGTGTAGCTGCACAGATTTTGGAGCAATATAATTTACATACGTGAGTAAAATTGAGCCCTGCTGTTTGGCTGGAGTTTGCTTTTATTTTTTATTTATTTTCAGATGTTTGGCCCTACATTGAATTCATAATGTGTGTCCAGGTCTACTGTTGTCTGTACAGAACAAGTAACTGCTTGAAGAAATTACAATTTTGCTTATAGTTTTCCAGTTTGCACTTAGTAAGTTCATATTTTCCAGTTTTGAAGAATATTTAGCACAGGCATCTGAGAAACTGGGATAGAGAGACTTGAATTTGCAAGTCTTCTTTTTTTGATAGTCATTGTCACTCCTCATGCTGAACTACCCTGTTCGAAAGGAGAAGGGGAGACCTGTTGTTACGCTGCGTTGGTGCCGCCTGCATTATGGGAGCAGCGAGGGAACAGCAGGGCCTCTGACACAACGTCCGGCCACTTGGAGAAATTTTAGGCAGTATAAGCTGGTTAAAGCTTAATTCTAGTACTGGGAGTAAGAAGTAGAGGCAGATGCTGAATGAGCTACGCTGATGTTAGGTCTTTTGAGAATTCTTTAATGCAGTGAATTACTGACTTGGCTGTTAATGAGCAAGGTTTTTGTTCTGTATATGATCCCCAACAAAAGCAAAAATCTCAAACAAAACTCATGAACCCCAAGCCAAGATGTACTTCGTCCAGTATGACCCTTGACTTCTGCAGGAGCTATCTGAACATTAAGGTTTGTTTCTGGAAGCCAAGTATATATACCGAGAAGAATTTGGCCAGTGACTGAAGGCTTTTTTTTCACTACTAATTATAAAGCATGATACTACAATTGTTTCCTAAACTTTATTAAGCTGTGCTGGCTTTCTGTAGCTCTAAAACACATGTACAGGATGTGTCTAGTAGAATCCAGTCCAGAAAATATCTTTTAATAGTGACAGCTGTCCTCATAGTATAGGTTCTTAACTGTGGAAGACGCCAACTGGGAATAGTCTAGAAGTATCACAATAGGTGATTTCTGTCCTGCAAACTAGGATGGAAGATAAAGCAATTGGTAAAGAAGTGTAAATGTAAAAAGAGAGTAGACTTGACAATTGCAAACCAAACCCTTGACATTGCATTAATGATAATGCATTCCATTCCAGTTCATGGTGAAGTAAAAGGAGTTGGTCTGGTAGATCAAATATGGCTTTCATTGCAAGACTGCGATAATGAAGGTGAGATGATAAAGCTATTCAGACTCCTAACCTATAAAGAACAATGATTACATTGTTTTTATGTATATTCAGTAATTTTGTGGAATTATTTCCTCTTAGAACTGATGTCATTCTAACATAGCACACTTATTTTCAGTTTTATTTCCAGGATGTGTGTATATGTGTATGTGTGTGTGTGTGTACGCGTGCGTGCTATATGTATATATATATGTATATGTATATATGTGTGTTTATACATATATATGTATCAATCATGCATTTGTGTATATACATACACACACACTTTTCTTGGTAAATAAAACATATATGCAGTCAAGATTGTGAAAAATTAATGATGCATTTTAGGTTCCCTTATGAATCTTATTGTCAGGGGTTTGAACAGAGCTTAACAAGATGATATTCCATTGCAGTATTTGATAAATTGGGATCGACTAAATAATAGTATGAGAATGAAACTTCCTGTCCTGTTTTGCTCTTAGAAATCCATTGTTGAGCAGGATGTGGTAAGGATTCGTTTGGTGTATACAAGCCCAGCTGTATATATATCTGGGGAGAAATCCCAAATACTGTGTTTCGACTAGTGTCTTTGGACTGGTGTGGCTGGAGACAGGGTTTTTTTTTGTGTGTTCACTAACCTGTTCTCAGTCATCATTTTCTTTTACAGACCAGATAGGACTAAAATCATGGGAACTCTCAAATACTTGTTAATACTTTTTTCAGAGAGAATGTCAACAATTGCTTCCTGTTCTTAAGGAACCAAGTCTAAATAATTAGAACTGGCTGAACACCAGGCTTTTCTGTCATACGTTAACAAAATTAGTACAATTATTTTGAAAAGTATTTAACCAGTTGCATTGCTAGCATAGAGTTCACATAACTGACTCACTCCTTCCATTCTCTTGCACTTTAAGTAATCAGAAATAACTCAATTCTGTATTATCTATTAAGTGTTCTCCCTGGAGAACAGGTGTAATGTGTGGTTTGCAAATCCTGCATCATTTCACTTGCTGCTGAGGCAAAGCACCTAGCAACATTTGAAGCTGTGGGTATGCTAATAAAGCAGATGGGGCTGGGTATGTTCTCTGACCCTGAGAGGAAGGTATGGATTTTGCACATATGTTTAAAACTCTCTTCTCCCTCTTCCCTCAAATAGGGCAGCCTCATTCATACAGTGCATGGTGAATAATCCTAACCCATGCTCTCCTTTGAACCCTACCAGGAAGTCACCTGGGAGAGTGCTGTTTAGCTTAGTCTGAAATGGTACCATGATTAATCGAGAGGTAATAGTTGTGGATAAAAAAAAAAAAGAAGATCATACGTCCTTACTCAAGCTATAGCCAGGCATGTGGATGTGGCTATTTATTCACTGAAAATACGATGACTGCGAAAGCTGAGGACTCTGGGTTTCTTAAGCAGTGCCTTGGAGGTGTGGAGAAGGATTGTCACCGAGTAAAGCGTCAGTCTCCCTTACTTCATCGCTATAAGCATTTTTTGACCTTAATAAGGCTGTAAGACCATTTTTTTTAAATGGAAATGGGGAAATTCAGGAGGTATAGCTCAGCAGTGGAGCAGGAACACCTTTTACTGACCAATTCCTCCATTCTTTTCCTGATTCTCTCCCTGCAAAACTATCTGATGGAAATATCTTTAGGACTGAGTTTCAAAGATTGATTCACGCGTATGGAAAAAGAGAAAGATTATTTTTGTTGCTCTTCAAACAGCTCAGAAAGCTATGTTCATACTGCATCAGTGGTGGCAGACAAATAAGATCCAAATAGGATGTATAGCATAGAGTGTGCCAAAACATGTGGATGAGGAACCCAGCATCTCCAGTTGCGGGAATGCAGTTGCAAATAAGAAAATAATCTTATTCAGTTGCTAATAGCTTCCCCTGGCAGTTATGGCAGTAAGCAGCTGAACTTGGTATCCATTATAGACTCATGTCTCTAATTCATTTCATGTTAATTAAGGTTCTAATTACATTGTAGCGTTTAGTAAAACTGTTTACTTCCTCCCGTAAGAAAGTTGCTGAGTCTTCAGATGGGGCTTTTCAACTGTAATTTAGATGCAGTTAGCCTGTTAGATGTAGTACATGTTTAGTTCTGACGAAAAGGTGCAGTAAAATGTAACATTTATAAATATTAAGAGTGGGAGCTTCCCCTTTTCCCAAGGCGTGTTTGCAGTACCTTTTTCCTTCTCCATGACGTGCTGTACTCTTTGAAGAGCACTCCGTTGGACTGAGATCCATTTTGTGCCCATGTGTCTATAAAGCTGTGAACAGGCCAACCTGAAATAAGTGCACATTGTTTTCGCTTTGGCTCCACGGAGCTGTGCTTCAGGAGACTCGGACTACTTTATTTAGTTCCAAGCTGTGCAATATTTTTCCTTAAAAACATTCTCCACCTCCTGTGTTTGGGAAGAATCGCATGGGCGTTCACACTCAAGCAGTGTCTTCAGTGTGATTCCAAGTTACTGCAGGGCTTGGGAAGAGAGGAAAGTCCCTGGAGCCTTTGGAGAGGTGTAGGGCCTGCACGTATATACCTCAGGCTGCCTGCAGAATGTATGCCAGACCTCGGGAGGGCTTTTTAGGGCTTTCAGTCCTGACCATGAGCTCCATGAGGAGATATGCTGAGCCTTGCCCTGCTCCCTCAATGCCCATGTGGTGTTGTGGAGGAGGACTGATTTGGATACGGTTCAGTGAAAGACAGCTAAGTTTGTCCCTTCCCTGTGCTGTGACGGTAGGATTTATGGTAGGAGATAATTAACAGCGTTTTTGAGGGTATTCTGTTGTTTTGATATGGAACCTGTTTGTTGAACTGAACTTGTGTCAAAACATGGCAATGAGCTCTGGCTCCAGGGGCTTAAAGTCTACACGGGAGAAAGGAAGAATAGATGCGCACAAAGAGTGAAGTTGTGCTCATGGAGCAAATCAGTGACTGGACTAGCTAGGGTTTGACTCTTGCTCCCTTGCTCTCAGTCCAGTATCCTAATCACTGACCACGCTACTCAGTAGCATTTATCCAGCACAGATCAGCTTTTTTAGGGAAGATTGTTAATGATTTTTTTTTTCAGGAAGATTTGAGAGGGAGTATCTGAACAGTAACTGCCATAAGGGAAGGTGATTGAGATTAACGAAGTAAAAAGAAAAGAAATGTTTCACTAGATGCAGTCAGTGGTTAGCATATGTGGCTTGTAAAAGTACTCAGACTTCGCAAACTCAGGGTAAAATGTCATTGAAAGGAAGCTGGTGAACTGTTCAGTAACAAGTATGAGGCCTGTAATGATCAAAGGAATTGATATTACTGTAAGGCAACAGTTAGGAGAATAATCTCATCATAAATGAATATATATGCTACAGTTCCGTAACTCTTCTTATACTAGAATAAGCAACATTATTTCCCTAATTTTATATATAGCTTGGCTTGACAGTTCTAGTCAAAAAGGCCATATGTGGAATATTTATTGATCTTTGGAATTAAATGAGCTAAATTCTTGGTAGAGTTGGCTTTCAGTAGGCAGGTAGAGACAGACAAAGGTTTCCAAGCCGACAATGATTCTATTTTTCAAAGCATTGAGCCATAATTATGCTATGTCTTTCATGTGCTCTGATCTTCTTTTTTGTGGCTGTAAACTGACACTTGCCAAAAGTGCCTCTGTGTAGTAGCATTTCTGTATTTTACATGCATACTGATGAATGTATGAAACACAAATGCTAGGGATGTCATAAGGTAAACAGCCTTTTTTCTTAACTGCTTTGACTTTTCAAGGACTTTCAGGAAGCTTTGAGCAAATGTTCCTTGAAATAGTGATTGATCTCTTAGGCGTGAAGTGTTTCATGCAAATGAAGCGTGGAATAACCTGCAGACATCTAGGTTTTAAAATATGTGTGCGGATAGTAATTCTTACAGCCTTTTCTGTGAACTGGGTTTCTTATTAATGTGTGTTTTCTGTGGTTCCACGAGCTGCTGTTTCTGCAAAATTTCTGTTTCTGAGTCTGACCAATTGCTTATTCACACTCTCTTTTTTTCACTTTAACCTGTCCCCTGAATTAGAAGCTGTGCAAAATATACCCGTTGACTAGCTCTGAGAGCCGGTGGTTTGAGCTTAAGGTTTTAATGTCCTTGGCTCTTACTAATCAATAGCAAGCAGAACAAGTACAGCATCAGCAGCAGTACAGTAAAAGGAAACATCTCTTGGATATTGTGCTGGAAGACAAGAGGGTAATGGCTCTCCTTGAGAAAGATGCAATATATTCTCCTTAAGAATACTGAGCACGAATGTTTCATTTTCTGCTGCCAGCTTGGAAAATGAGCACATCTTCCAATGTATCATACCAGGAAATAAAATAAAAACCCCAAATCAGACCAAGGTAAAATAGATTAAGACATTAAATGTTCATTGTTGGCAGGGTAGAGGACTGTTATCCCAAAATATTTTTGGTGTCTGAAATGCTGAGTAGGCAGGTCAAGTTTTACTGTCTCATGGTCCTAACTCATTTTACACTGAGAACAGCTTTATAGGGTCCTTTACTAAAGTACGTATAATTCTATTTGACCCCCTTCCTAGTTTTATAAACTTGTGGATCAATGAACTAAACCATTAAATAGATTGAATGCTGCCTGCAACACTAATGTTAATGGCTCCAATTTTATTAAGCCCATTTGGAAGTCTCATACAGGTGGCAGCAGCCATAAAATGATAAACTATGTATCCGTACCTGTGGAGCATAAATTTAAACGGCAGAGGAAATACTAGTGATATTGGTAGAGAATGCTTTTTAAAATACTGCAATATTTTGAAGGATTATAAAGGAAAGCATAAACTCTAAGTTTGGGTTTACTATAGTTAGTCCTCAAGTTAATATATTGTATTGTGTACTGCCTTATGAGTGTTATAAGTAGATAGGACAAGTAAGAGGGTTCAAGACTCTTCATCTTGATGTGCAGCTTTATGGGATGGGTTTCTAGCCTTTTCTGGTCTTAGTTTCTGCAATTACTAAG